TGATTTACCCTTTGAGTCGAAAAGAAATTTCGACAACATAGAACAAGTAATAAGGTTAACATATTCCAAGTAATACCATTAACCTTAGCAAAAGTAATGGCATTAAACATAGGAAAAGATATATTTTTCTGGGACTTTATTTATGGGCAATTAACCCATTTAAAGTTTAATTAATCTGAATTAACACAAGTGCTACTTACTTTGAGAAAGTATCACAGAAAGCATTTTAATACGCGTTTTTGTGAAATTTTGGCAGATTTATCAATAACTTAATGCTTGACATTTTTAAGTAACTGTAAAAATGACTTGCCTGACACAACGTAAACGCCTTTTTATATAATGTTTTTTTAACTACCCAGTAATCTTGAAAATTTTCGAAAATATTCTTAGTAATGTAATATTTTGTTGAAGTTTAGCTACTTTGGCTTTATCGTCTTATATATCACAAGTAATTACATTTAACATAAAACGTTTAATGATGAAATGTTAGAAAATTATCACATAAATCACCATCATATTTTCCATAGTTACCGATCTTATATCCTGATAATATCGTGTATGACCGTCCTTATTTGCGAAAATCGGTACGTTTATACACATATCTTTTTAAAATACTTTGGATCACTGAATTGTAGTAAAATTTTCCAATTATGGTTAATAAATATAGTTTTAACTAAATAACAATATCACATAACCTCTACAAATTGACAGAGAATTTTAAAAGATTTAAAACTTTATAAAATATTTAATTATTTTTAAAAACTAAGAGAAACGATTCTTGTAAAAATTCATTATTCATATTTTCTTTGACATTAGCATCCAAATATATATTTTTCATAAAAGTAATTAAAAGATTTTCTCATTAAATAATGTCTTTATTTTAATTGTACTTTTTATTTTACGATTCGTAGCAGATTTCCTGTAACTAGGGGTTCTGTTCGACAAAGAAATTTAAATGATTTAAATTCTCCCAGGACTTGTCCTTATAACTAATATAAACATTAAGCACCAAAAAAATGAATTTCTCGAAATTTCATAAAAGTGTAACAGATGTAAAAAAAAAAAAAATGTTTTTACCAACATTTCTTCTAAAAAGAAATATTTCTAAAATAACTCCTTACATATTGTGATTAAGTCCTGAAGGTTGCATTAAAATTCGACAATTATCTGATTTTTGCAAGAATTTCCAAATCAATGTGTTTTTACCGCTAAAAGACGATCAAATTCATTCATTTATGCATTTATACCAGTTGGATTAAAAATATTCTTTTAATTAGTGTTTCTTGTTAATGAACAAAAGAACACTTGTTTGTATTCAATAAACGTAAAAACTGTTCAAGCGTTTGCGATCTAATACTTTCAACCTTACTTCTGGCCATTATCAAGATCGGAAAAACTCTAATTCGTAATACGTTTTAAATTCTGTGTTTGTCTCTTGTGCGTCATGGTGACGCCATTCAGGAAACAACACAGAAGATAATTTTTCCTAAGGTTAATTCTATAAAGAGTTTGTATTTATCAAGATTATTTTTAGTTTCTAAGAACATAACTTCGTAACTCGTTTTATCGTGATATTCTGAGTGCTTAAAATAGTATTTAAAAATAAACATTTCCTTTCTAAACCTTGTTATCGCAAATATTCGTTAACCTAAAATGAAACCGCTAATAACGAAACGATTAAGTACCTTGAGAACATCCTTTCGCTACAAACATGATTAGTCATTTATTTTATTTATTTATTTATTTTTTGTATTTGTCTGGTACCACCCACCATATAAGTGCTCTCGTGAGGTTTCTATAATCGATTTGTTTAACGAGACGGCAAGATTAGATCCATGTCTGCCAATTTTCGGTACTCTTTGAAATATTGGTTTTCCTTGCCTTAGACGGCCACGTGTTACACGCTAACGAATTCCATTGTGTTTGGGAATTCAGAGATACTTTCTCCTAAAATGGCTGCCAAACAAGGTTAAAGATATTTTTGTTGTGGGTATGATAAAATAAAGGCCCAGATCACTGAACGTCCAATGCCAATGGAATATGTGAATGTCACATAGAAAACTGACAGACGCAATTAGTCAGACCTACACCGGTTGATTGACTGATCGATTTTTTTATAAGATTTATCGACCCTTTGCATGTTATTTAAAGCTAGAAATGAAAATGTTTACGTTCTAACTTGAACCGATTTAATGTGAATTAAGTTTAATCGTCTAATGATTTTTTTCTTTTTCTTTCGGATTTGGTGGACATTTTCACACATAATTGCCATTACTTACATAACCTGATCCAATAAAGAAATAAAGAAATCTTCACCAATAACACTGATTTATTTACTGATGAATTTGATCCGTCTTAATGAAACACCTTTAAATATAATCCGTCTTAATGGAACACCCTTTACTTTTTTATAAATTGTAAGAATTCCTTTTAATTTTTAATTTTTTTTGATAACGAAAAAGTGGAGGGCGAGAAGAGGTGTATTCATACATTTCCCAAGTATATTTGCGCGTAAGTGAATATAACGAATCCAACTGGAATTCGAACTCGGCTCTCTGATTAACAATTCTGAGCCATTATCCATTACATCATACGCCAAAAGCAAGTCAGGTAGCGAGAGACGTGGAGAGGAAGAACGAATATAATAGAGCGGACTTTCCGGTTAAATTCAAAGCGATATTTCTGTTGGGTGATGATAAGGTAATGTCTTTGGACAACGCCTTAATGACTTAGAATACACACGATACGAAAGAGACAAAAATTAGTCATTTTCGTCATTTCTTAACAAAGTAATTGCTGAAACCTCATGATTACAAAAAGGTTCCTCTAAGAAACTATGGAATTGAGGTGCTGAATATAACGTCACTCAGCTAAGTAAAAAAATTAATTTGTATCAATTACATATATATATATATATATATATATATATATATATATATATATATGTATGGATAGAAATGTAAAGTAACACTAAAGACAGCCACGCCTAAAAGATATTGACAACAAAAAAGTTCTCAATACAATATTCAAAATCGAATATGAAGAGCTAATAGATTTAAGAAAAGACGACATGCTTGAGGAGACCTTAAGGTCGAAACCCGGGTTGCGGTTCTTACGATTAGCATTGGCTCGAGAAGGTACAATAAACCACTCTCCTAGAGGTTAGCATCAGCCATGCTGAGGGGAGGTAAAAAAAAAAAGGTAATCATCTGTTCTCTCAGATGATTAAATCGTATAATGCTGTTATATATATATATATATATATATATATATATATATATATATATATATATATATATATATATATATATATATATATATATATATATATATATATATATATATATATATATATATATATATATATATATTCTTACGTACAATTATCGCAGCACAAAGTTTAAAAAGAAACGATAAAAATGACGTCGTCTAAAAGACGACCAAGATACCACTTCACATTGGAAGAATTCGTTGCAGGGTCAAATACACGATTTCGGAACGATAGCAAACAGTGACTAACGATAAAAGACAATGTCCAAATTAACAAGATTTAATTACAACGAGACAATACATAAAAAAATACACTTAGATATGAGAATGCGTAGAAAGATGTGTGCTATACATTTCTGTGTGGAAAGATGCATTTATTTTGTGAGGGTAAAATTTGAAATTAGAACTTAGATTCAGTTTTTCTTCTAAAATAAAATAACGTCTCCTCTTTTAACTTCTCTCTCTCTCTCACTCAATCTCTTTCTCTCTTTCTCTATCACTCTCTCTTTCTCTTTCTTTATCACTCTCTTTCTCTATCTCTCTCTTTCTCTCTCTCTCTCTTTCTCTCTCTTTTTCTCTCTCACTCTCTTTCTTTCTTTCATACCCTCTTTCTCGCTCTCTTTCTCTCTCTCTCTCACTCTCTCTATCTCTCTCTCTCTCTCTCTCTCTGTCTTTCTCTTATGATTCTCTTTGTCCCTTTTAATTTCAAACCTGTTCGTTCACTCAAGTAGCGGAATCCTTTGATGTATTCTTCTTACTTCAACATTACTTTCATTATCCGGTCATTAATTTTGGCTTTGCAGAAATTGTACATTTGGCCATGAAGATTCGATGCTATGTAAGTCATAGCTTTAGATTGTGCACAATTCATGTTTCGGATCCTTCGTCCAATTAAGTATATTACATAGACGTTTCATAGGTGACAGACACGTTTTGCCATTCACCTATGCCCTTGATGTAAGCTGCTTAGTGTTAAGTTTGTCTCGACGTGTGACCTCTTTTGCTTGACTGTAACAAGTGAAAGAGAAATTGTCTCCGTTTAATTCTCTGCTCGTGTTACATGTGAGTTGGGGTCGTCATTCCTTCTGTTCAATTCTGAAAGTCAGTTCATATGAGAATTTAATATACAATCCGTTTCTTTCGATATTCGTCAACCGAGTTCTGTCGATCTTTCCCACTCGATCGTTCGTATCTGGTGACGTGGTTTTCACATGTATGAGTATCTATTTTTAGCTTTCAATTCCATCTGTTGCCGAGGTCTTCAGACTAACATAATTCAGCGACTACTGTTACATACCAAAAGGGAAGAGTTTACATATATTGCTAGGGAGATTGGTTTGCTAAGTGTAAGATTATGTGTGGTATGGGTGTTGCGTTGCGTAAAGCCGTAACAAGATATATATATATATATATATATATATATATATATATATATATATATATATATAAAAAGTGACGGACTTTTATTCATTAATCCGACAGATTTTATTAATTAAACGAAGCACGGAGCGTTCACTCAAAAAATGAGTTTCCACTAAAAATAGCCTTTTAGTAATAATAATAATAATTATAATAATAATAATATATATATATATATATATATATATATATATATATATATATATATATATATATATATATATATATATATAATGCTTATATGGAAACTATCTAACAATCATTTTTGATGTAACCTAGCAATCTGTCAATGCAGAATTTCCCGCGCAAACATGATAGATAGATAGATAGATAGATAGATAGATAGATAGATAGATAACACTTTTTTTACCTTCCCTCGGCATGACTGATGCTAACCTCCAGGAGAGTGACTCATTACACCTTCTCGGCTAATGTTTTCAGATGACATGAAATGGAAAAATTATATTAAATCCATTGCTAAGTTTGCAGCTAAAAAACTTGTTTCACTACGTCGTGTTAGACAATATTTCTTAGCAGACTCTATCTTGAAAAATATTATAATTCTATCATTCGTCCTTGCTTTGAATGTAGCTGCCACTGCTCCTGTTATATATTTAGAGATTCTTGGTAAAATCCAAAGAAGAATCTGCAATGTTATTGGTCCTGACTTGGTATCTCGGCTTTACTTTATACCTTCATGGTAATTGTTATGATGGACTTTCATTTATGGTACCTAGACTTTATGAATTTAAGTGCAGTACTAGATTGGCGGCAAGGTCTCATAAATTGAATTGACTATATATAAACGTAAGTTTGGGTATCTCGAGGCGGTGTAATAATTAGCAAAGTTGTATCGTACGACTGAGCAGTGAGTTCGTTCCTTACTGGGTTCCCCCTAATTTCGGCCTTGTGCCACATCTAATCTACGCTTGAAAAATCACTATATAACTGTAAGTTCTATGTTAACAGTTTTTACTATCGCACTTCTCACTTGTGGAACTCTCTTCCAAGAAATGTCACTGATTGTATGTATAAGTGTTTTTGTTGTTTTACTTTTTAAGACTTTCTCGTTGGTCTCATTTACTGCCCATTGTGTTCTCAGCTGTCTTTGGCAGAACTTAATTTCTGTCGCTTCAATGATCTGCATCGGTGAGGAAAGCCGTCCTGTATTTCATATAGAACAGGAATCGGCAAACCACGAATACACCCACCCCGGGCCACATCGACATCGCGAAAGAATTTTTGTCCGGTTCACTAACTTAACCCCTGGACACTAATTATTTTCTTTATTTCTGGAGCAAGTCTCAGAAAAATATCAGTTGGAGTTAATCGACTTCCAAGTCGGCGAATTTTTTAAATCAAAGTTTAATTCTGAACCCAATGCTGACTTATGTTTTGCCAAGCGGAAAATATATAAAAGCCTATTTAATAATGTGAAAATGGTGGTATCATTATTTGGAAGTAGATATGCTTGTGAACAACATTTCTTTTTTTGAAAATGAAATATACTCAAAGTAGGTTAAGTAGAAGGTTGGGTGATGACCCCCTGGATAATGTTTTGCTCCTTTCCATCAACAAATATTTGACCGGATGTGGCGAAGTTATCAAACGACAAGCAGAAACAATAAATGTCTTATTAAATAATTTGCCACTTCTAATTGTATTCCGTTTGCAGTAAGGAATTTGCATTTTTTGTTGATTGTCTTAATTATTATTCTGTTATTCCTGCAGTAAAATAAGGAACTTTGTTTAAATAATATAACATTAACTTACATTGTTGTTTTTACTTTAAGCCTTCAGAAGAAGGCAGACTTCTGGGTGGAGCGGTCTGGGGAAGAGACAATTTATTATAGTATATTTTATATCATGGCCTCCTCCGAAACACTGCATAGCTTTCTGGCCCATTCTCTCCAAAAGATTGCCAACCCCCTGAGAGGGAAGATTAGATATTAAGTAGCGTTTCGACATACTTTTCTTTGTTTCTGATGCAATGGAATAAACTGTCACCAACATGAGTTACTGCACTATAGGTAGTAACTCTCTATAAGTATCTGTATTTACGGAGTCTAGTTGAAATCTTTTCCGGTTGTACTGCCGCACTCTCTGCCTTCGGACGAGGATATGCCGAAGGGAAGAGTCTCGTTCGAGGAGATAGACAGACCCGATCACGTTTATGCGCGGTCTACGGGGAATTTTTAGCCGAGCCTCCGGGCTCGGGAACCCCACATTAAATTCGGCCTTATGCCACATGTGACTGCGTGGGACAGTTGCTAGATACTCTAGATGAAATCTTTTTTTCAGTTGTGCTAGTCCAACTCTCGGGTAGAGAGGAACCAGGACGATGCTATGCCGAGGGGCAGAATCTCGTCCGGGGAGTAGACAGACCCGATCACGTTTATGCGGGGTCTATGGGGATTTTTTGGCCGAGTCTGAGGGCTCGGGAACCCCATATTAAATTCGGCTTTGTGCCACATCCTGCCTCGTGGGGAGGCTGGTAATTATTTCTAGCTGGGTTTGTGCCACATCTGACTGCTTGGGGTACTTGCTAGATACTCTAGCAGGAATCTTTTCAGCTGTACTGTCGAACTCTGTGGCTTCGGGCAGAGAGGAACCCAGACGAGGCTATGCCGAAGGGCAGAGTTTTGTCCAGGGAGGTAGACAGACCCGAACCCGTTTATGCGGGGTTACGGGGAATTTTTAGTCGAGCCTATGGTTTCGGATTGCTCCACATTAAATTCGGCCTTGTGCCACATCGTACCTTGTGGGGAGGGTGGTAAATATTTCTAGTTAGGATCTGTTGAGTACGACTCAGACTTACGCGAGAACGACCGACCTTCCACTAGTAGCACTTACTGGTGGATTGACTTGCAATGACCTTGTGCATAACTGTTACCTTTATTCTTATTGTTCTGTTTTTTACAATAAACCTTTACTTATTTTATCCACCTTGTTTTTCAAGTATATATTCCTATTAACACGGAATATAACAGTTTCCAGTGGTATTTTTCCATATCTTAATACTTTGCTTAGCTTCAGAATATCTGTTATTAGCATTACTTACACTATATTCGAACTACTATTCTCGTCTTTATTGTTATTGATTACACACATTCGTTGAGCAGGCTACTCGCTGTTTCTCTTTGCTTCTTTTGCTTTCAGTATTTGTAAGTGTTAGATTCTCTAGGCACCCTTTCTTCGTTATGTTTCCTAGAATTTTTTTTCCTTTTAAAGAAATGGCCGTCGTCGAGAAATAAAAAGAGAATTCTGAATCTCCAACTAGAAAGACGAACGTCACAACACATAAATCACTGAGAGTCATGAAAATGTTTTACCGCATGTCAAAACATCAGTGAATTCTTAGCCAATCGCTGAAGCCAAAATCCTCTAGGTATGTGTCAACGTTGACGTGATTGGTCATTCCTAACCCGAAATAGGAAAACGTTAATAATTTATTCCAATCTCTGTTAGGTGCGTCCAATGTAACCGTATTTCTTACAGTCACGAATAAAGAACAGAATTATTTACGATAAAAAAAACAGCATCGTTTTATTGTTTAATCTTTTAAATTTATCAATAACCCTCTTTGAAAAGCGTTGATCGTAAAGATGGCCGCTGAAGAGGATTTACAACACCTTTTCCTTTTCAAGAGTAATTTAAAAATGTCTTCGCTTCTTCATGCTCTACTTAAGTTATGTAGCACTCACAAATTATTATATTACAGTCCAGCACTCCTTTCTTTGTTTCTAGCGACAGTTTCCTGTCTTTTAGATACTGGCTCTTAAAGTTTTATCCAACTCAATTGAAATAGAAACAAAACAAGACTTCAGACATTCTCTTGCAAAACCTGTCGCAGAAGAAGTAATAACTGTGATATTGACCAGTAGAAACCGACCCTTGAACTTTATGGCCTACGTTTTATTGGTTTGAAACAAGGTGCTTAAATCAGAACGAAAATGGATATATTGAATGAGCAATGGACAGACAGCGCCAACCCAACACCTCACAAACTGAACATATTTTTGTAACAGCTTGTTCAGCTTTACATCGAATAAACTCAAAAAATCGATTTTCCTGCCTGATCAACGTGAATCATGTCCTAAAATGAATGACAGTTTGCCTCCAATAAGATACAAGTACTTTTTTTACTTGTAAGTTTTGGTGCTTCATTTAATATACACACAGACATTAGGCAATATACACACAGATTGAGCCAGAAGTTCGTTCTGGGTTTATCGTCAGATAAGCATTAGAAGTGTTTAGCTTTAACTCCCTTTATTTAAAAAGATCGCTTTAATAGCATTGCAAAATCTTTCATATTTATTGTTAATCATTTCAACCCGAGCAAGGTAATGAAGCCGCTAAGATGCAAGGGGTTAGTAAGTTTGGATGAATATAAGAAAAAGAAAAAACTCTATCATGAGGCAATAGCTTCTTCTACCGCAAGGAAAGTTACTTCTTTGTGTTGCGCCAGAAGGTTTTTCTTGCCTTTGTCCATCCATCAAATCTACCATTCATCATTGCTTTGAATACTGTTGCCATATATGGTCTGGTTCGTCTCGAGGTCCTGAACAAAATCTAGAGACGGATATGCAATGTGATAGGTCCTGATCTGGCATCTCGTCTACAATCACTTTCTCACAGACATGATGTGGCTTCCCTCTGTCTTTTCTACAAATATTTTCATGACAACTGCTTTGACGAGATACTTTCACTGGTACCCCAGCTGCATGAATTTAAGCGTGATACTAAGTTGGCATCTCGGCTCCATCATTTCACTGTAGAAACAGTTAAATGTACCGCCTCTTCTACTCCTTCTTCTCTCGCACTTCCCGGCAGAAGAACTCCCTTCCTCTTACTTGCTTCCCTGATAACTATAATCTTCAAATATTCAAATCTAATGTCACTCGATATCTTCTGATGTCTTGATCCTGGTCTCCGTCCTTCTCTATATCCTTTCCCCGAACACCCCTCTTTACTCTTGCTCTCAATCCTCTGTAACCCACTTGCGTGCTAGGGGCACTTCCGCTTTGCTTGGGAGTGAAATACTTAAAAAAAAAAGGTGTCAGCAATAAAAGAACAAGAATTAAGTTGACAAAAAGCAACGGTTGACACTTTAGAATTTAAATTTTTGAATATCAATGATGACTGAAAAATAAGAGGCTGGAAGGGAGTTCCAAAAGTAAGAAGGAACTATTAACATAGAACTTATATTGCCATTTCAACCGTAAAAGGATTAGGCTTTTTTAAAAAATATATATTAACCTGAATAACCAAGGTTATTTTAGATACTCGCTATAATAAAAGCAACATGTCTACACGTTTTGGTTTGGTTTGTTTTTTTCAATTATTTCTAAATTTCCAAAAATAAAAACCTGCAAATGTC